GGCAATGAATGTACATATGTGCTTTACACAATTGATGTATGTGTGGATTGTGATTAGAGTTGTATGAGCCTCTAATAAAATGATTTAAAAATACATTAAAAAATTAATCCAATAAAAAAAAGGTTTTTTGCTACCCAGAAATGTCTAGTCTCTCAATTTCTCAAGTGTTCCTTTATCAGCCAGTCTGTTTGCATCTGTTTCCATTTTAATACTTTCACTCACCTTCTTTTTAACAACTTCCAGCTATTTTGGGTTAAGAAAAAGCCTTCTGCCCCTTCACGAGGTAGGAGCTGTGTGACCTGGAGACAGCCACAGATCACACATCTCCTTTCACGAGGGGACACAGGCAGCAAGCTGAGGGAGGTGTGCAGGAAGGAGGGCCGGATGACATGTTCAGGAGACACGGCTCCTTCCCGAAGTGAGAGTGCGGCATTTAGCATGCTGGCTACATCCTGGTACCAGATACTGAGACTAAGGTACATGTCAAACACATCTGAGTAATTTACCAAGTCCTAAGGGTGATTATGGTTTCCCTGGTCAATTACATTCAAAATAAGGGCTTCATAGATCTTTCCTTGTGTCTTAGAAACAAACAAAAAAATCAGAAACATGAACAATCTGACACATACAATCCTTCAGACTTTAAAGCAGCATTACAGAATTGTTTGGGGACTCTTACTACATCCTGACTAGATGGCTAGACTTCTTACTATAATAAAAATATGTATGTACTTATGTCCTAAGAGCCAAAGACAAAGAAATCCCCACAGATGAGAACTGGCAAAAATGTGTCCTAAAGCACCCGGCAGTAAGTATGTTGGTTCTGTGGCTCCGAGAAGCCCCTGTGGCACCGAGTCGATGCTGTTGCGGTGGCTCAAGGCAGTGACAACAGTGGCAACAGTGGCAAGGCTGAGCTCCAGCAACACAGGCCGTATGAACACTGAAATTTCAATTTCATGTTACTCCCACGTACCACAAGAGTTCACTTTAACCATTTAAAAATGTAAAGCCCCCTTAGAGAGGGGGCACGGGGAGGAGACCAGCCAGTCAGGGTGCAGGGTAGCAGGGAAAACACATATAACTTTCCTCTAGTCCCTAAATGCTTCCTCCCCCACTATCATGATCCCAATTCTACCTTACAAACCCAGCCAGACCGGAGGATGTGCAATGGTGCAGATAGGAAATGGAAACACAGGGAATTCAGGACAGATGATCCCTTCAGGACCAGTGGTGAGAGTGGCGATACCGGGAGGGTGAAGCGAAGGTGGGGTAGAAAGGGGGAACCAATTACAAGGATCTACATATAACCTCTTCCCTGGGGGACAGACAACAGAAAAGTGGGTAAAGGGAGACACTGGACAGTGAAAGACATGACAAAATAATAATAATTTCTAAATTATCAAGGGTTCGTGAGGGAGGGTGGTGGGGAGGGAGAGGAAAAACAAGGAGCTGATACCAAGGGCTCAAGTAGAAAGCAAATGCTTTCAGAATAATGAGGGAAACAAATGTACAAATGTGCGTGACATAAGGATGGATGTATGGATTGTGATAAGAGTTGTACGAGCCCCCAATAAAATGATTTTAAAAAGAAAAGAAAACAAATAAAAATAGAAATGTAAAACCATTCTGAGTTCCTGGGCCACACAAAAACAAGCCGTGGGATGGATGTGGCTGTGGACTAGAGCTGGCTGATCCCTGCTTGTACAAGCTCCAGTGTGGAAGAGAATTAAAACATGCAACCAATATTTACTCTATTGGAGATTTTTATAAACTGGGTCAGATATAGAACAATAATCCAACAGGCCAAATCATTAAAGACTGCAAAGAAAAAGTAAAAGAAGAGGTGGGTTGGAAAAAAACAAACAATCCTGAAGGAGACGTTCACTGCCTAATCCCTGGGTGCTGCATACTGACTTCACAGAGCAAAAGAAGGGATGAGGAGCAGTTCCGAGGGGGGCTGCTAACCGCAGGCCAGTAGTTTGAAAGCACCAGCCGCAGAGGACGCAGACTTAGGGCAGAGCAGCATTCCCTCTTGGCCTTTATTGGCTGTTCTAAAAAGCTTTGTAACATTGCCTGAGCCACGCAGAGGCCAGGCCAACAGGCTGAGGGTCAGACAGGGTCTGCCTGTGAGCACAGCACTGTCCAAGCTGAACAACTGTATCCTGAGCCTCTCTCGTCTAAATTATAACCCAGTAACTTCCCTGCGAATTCTTTGTGACCATTGCAAAGAGTTACTGGAGCCAGCTGCAAAGCAGAGTGTGGCACGGAAGGGGCAGCGGATGTCAGAACTGGTCAGAGGCTGGGAAGAGTGGAGGCGTGTCTGATCTCAGGCTCACACAGATCTGCCTCAGACCGTGCTGAGATGGGGTTTCATTTTCTTTCCCCCTGGTGTAGCTGGAATAAGTCAGATGAAACACCCACATCACTCTTTTCCAGAGAAAATAAAAACACACTGAGCATGAGGTGAACAGAGAGGCTGGAGGCTGCGTCCATAAGCCAGTGATCTGGCAGGGGTAAAGGGCAAGGGGCAATCCCAACACCCCACCCCCACCCCACCCTACCCGAGCCTCCTGGGGGAGGGCGGCCCTGTCAACACTTTGCTTTCACACTTCGGGTCTCCAGAACTGTGAGAGAATAAATGACCAAAGATATGATGATTTATTACAGCAGCTTCAGGAAATTAGACCACAGCATCCCACCTCCCTGCAGTTTGTCAGGAAGAGCTGCTACAGACATGTGTCTGGTGTTTTACCAACAAACTTACCAAGTTGTTGTTGGGGCCCATTGAGTCGGCTCCAACCCCCACACTGCGCCATCCCCACTACTGTTGCTCTGCCTGAGCCGCGTGATGCAGCCACTGTGCCAGTCTATCTCCGCGAGGGCCTTCCTCTTTTCCCTGTCCTTCCTTCTCCAGGGACTGTTCTCTCCTGACAAGACTCCCAAAACATGTAAGACAAGTCTCGCCTTCTTTGACTGTGAGGAGCACTCTGGCCTTACTGCTGCCAGTATGGATCGGTCAGTCCAGGGTGCTTTCAATGTTCTTCACCAGCACCCCAATCCAAACGCATCCACTCCGCGGTCTTCCTTAGTCAGCGTTCAGCTTTCACGTTCATACGAAGCAATGGAGAGTACCATGGCTTGGGGCAGGCACACCTTAGTCCCGAAAGTGGTATCCTTGCTTCCCAAAACGTTAAAGAAGTCTTGTGCAGCAGATTTACCTAATACATACAAGGTGTGCTTTAACTTTTGATTGGTGCTTCCATGAGCATTGATTGCGGATCCAAGCATGATAAATGCTCGACAACTTCACCCTTCTCTCCATTTATCACGATGTTTGCTGGTCCGGTTGGTCCAATTGGTCACATCAAATAGATGAAATGAAATTTTCAGGTATCTTTGTCAGTACCCTCCCAGAAAACCAAATCCTAAGCTAAACAACAGTTTTAGCAAACTGAGAATTCCTCCCAGCCCACTCAGCTGCCCTGGGTTCTTTAGTCATGAGAAGCATGTCTCCT